GGATTGCAGGTGCAGCAGGTGATTGAAAAGGCAAATGGAATTTTGTCTGCCATTGCTAGAGGGATGGAGTTTAAAAACAGGGAGGCTATACTGCAGCCGTATAGGGTCCTGGTGAGGCCACACCTGGCGTACTGTGTGCAGTTTTGGTCTCCTTACTTGAGAAGAGATATACTAACACTGGAGGGGGTGCAGAGGAGATTCACTCGGTTGATTCCAGAGTTGAGAGGGTTGGATTATGAGGAGAGACTGAGTAGACTGGGATTATACTCATTGGAATTCAGAAGAATGAGGGGAGATCTTATCGAAACATATAAGATTATGAAGGGAATAGATAAGGTGGAGGCAGGGAGGTTGTTTCTGCTAGCAGGTGAAACTAGGACTAGAGGGCATCGCCTCAGAATAAAGGGAAGCGGATGTAGGACTGAGGTCAGGAGGAACTTCTTCACCCAAAGGGTTGTGAATCTGTGGAATTCCCTGCCCAGTGAAGCGTTTGAAGCTACCTCGCTGAATGTTTTTAAGGCAAGGCTAGATAAATTTTTGAACAGTAAAGGAATTAAGGGTTATGGTGAGTGGGCGGGTAAGTGGAGCTGAGTCTCAAAAAGATCAGCCATGATCTTATTAAATGGCGGGGCAGGCTCGAGGGGCCAGATGATCTACTCCTGCTCCTAGTTCTTATGTTCTTATGTTATTATGTTCTAATAAGGGAACTGACAGGAAGCTCTGTGGTAGCAGATGAGACTCTTGAATGGTATGTTGCCTCCTTGGTGCTAAGGTCAGGGATCTTCAGAATGGTTGCAGGGCATTCTGAAGGGGGAGGGTGAACAGCCAGCAATTGTGGTAAATGTTGGTACCAATGACACAGGTAAAAAAAATGAGGTCATGCAACAGGAAATTAGTTAGGTAGTAGATTAAAGAGGAAGACTACTAAGGTTAATCTCCAGTATACTTCCAGTGCCTAATGCTACTTAGTATAAGAATAGTTCAGATGAACAACTGACTGAAGGGATGGTGTAGGAGGGAGGGCTTCAGATATTTAGATCATTGAAACAGCTTCTGGGGTAGGTGGACCAGTACCAGTTTGATGGGCTGAACCTGAACCAGAATGGCTGCAATATCCTATCAGGGAGGTTTGCTCATGCTGTCGGAGATGTTTTAAACTGATTTGGCAGTGGGTTGAAGCACAGAGTGGAAGTAAAGTCGCAAGCAAATTCCAATTAAATATAGGAGTGCCAGCACAATCCATTAGGCAGAGAAGACATGGGCTGGATAAGGCACTTCGGAGGCTCAGAAAGCTAACTTGTGCCTGTTTTAATGCAAGGTGCTTGATAGGTCAGGCAGATGAACATAGAGCATTATAAAAATCAAAAGAACTGTGGATGCTGTAAATCAGGAACAAAAACAAAGTTGCTGGAAAAGCTCAGCAGGTCTGGCAGCATCTGTGGAGGAGAAAACAGAGTTAACGTTTCGGGTCCAGTTCTGAGGAAGGGTCACCAGACCCGAAACATTAACTCTGTTTTCTCCTCCACAGATGCTGCCAGACCTGCTGTGCTTTTCCAGCAACTTTGTTTTTGAACCTAGAGCATTGATCAGCACATGGAAATATGATATTGTTGCAATCTCTGAGACATGGTTGAAGGAAGAAAGGTTAATGACTTGCAGCTCAGCATTCCAGAGTGTAGAGATTTCAGGCATGAACAGGGGTAAGTAAGAGAGGTGGGGACATTGCATTATTGATAAAGGAAACCATCACTGCAGTAATGAGGGAGTATGTCCTGGGTAGATCTTAGATATGAAAAAGGGGTAATTATCTTGCTGTGATTATACTACAGGAGTCCAACAGTCAGAGGGAGATAGATGATCGGATATGTAGGCAAATCACAGAAAGGTGTGAGAGAAACAGGATTATAGTTGGAGGGGATTTCAACTTTGCTTACATTACCTGGGATCGCCTTAGCATGAAAGGATTAGATGCGATAGCATTTTTAAAGTGCATCCAGGAGAGTATTTTGCGGCAGTACGTAGATAGTCCCACTAGAGATGGTGCAATGCCAGACTTAATCCTAGGGAATGAAGCCGGTCAAGTGGTTGAAGTTTTAGTGGGTAAGCATTTGGGGATAGTGATCATAATTCTGTAAGTTTCAAGTTTCATTATAGAAAGTGATAAAGATAGTGCAGAAATTAAATATCTGAATTGAGGGAAGGCAATATCATTAGGCAGGATCTGGCAAACAGAGTGGGAGCAGCAACTTGGAGTTAAGTCTATATTTGGAAAGTGGGAGTCTTTTAAAAGTACTATAGTGAGGATTCAAGGATAGCATGTTCTCAGTGTGATGGGAAAGGAGAGCAAGTCCAGGGAGCCAAGGATGTCAAGGGATATCAAGAGTTTGCTGAAGAAGGCTGCTCAGTGTCTCAGTGGTTAGCACTGCTGCCTCACAGCACCAGGGATCCGGTTTCAATTCCACCCTCGGGCGACTATCTGTGTGGAGTTTGTACATTCTCCCTGTGTCTACATGGGTTTCTTCCAAATGCTCCGGTTTCCTCCCACAGTCAGAAGATGTGCAGGCTGGGTGGTTTGGCCACGTTAAATTGCCCATAGTGTTCAGGGATGTGTAGATTAGGTGGGTTACAGAGGGATGGGTCTGGGTGAAATTCTCTGAGGATTGGTGTGGACTTGTTGGGCTGAAGGGCCTGTTTCCACACTGTAGGGATTCTATGGCAGAAAAAGAAGGAAGCTTATGTCAGGTATAGATCATTAAAAACTTCAAAAGTACAGAGAGTGTAGGAGATTTCTTAACAAGGAAATTAGGAAGTAGGGCAAAGAGGGGCCATGAAATATTTTTGGCAGTGGGGATCAAGGAAAACCCCAAGGCTTTTAATAAGTATATTAAAAGTAAGAGGATTACCAGAGAAAGAGTGGGACCTATTATTGACCTATAGCAACCTATGCATTGAGCCAATGGTTGTGAGTGAGGTCTTAAACAAATACTCCTTATCTGTATTACTAACTTAATTGAGATTTTTGAAAAGGTGGCTAAATATATTGATGAGGGTAGTGCAGTTGATGTGGTATACATGGACTTCAGTAAGGCCTTTGACAATAAATGCAAGGTGATACATTTGGGGAGATATAATAAGGGAAGGACGTACACAATGAACAGTAGGTCCCAAGGAGTACTGGGGAACAAAGGGACCTTGTTGTGCAAATCCATAGATCGCTGTCAGACAGACAGGGTGGTGGTGAAGGCATACAGGCCTTCATTAGCTAGGGCATAGAACATTAGAGCAAGGAAGTCTTGTTATAATCATATAAAACATTAGTTAGGCCAAAGACAGAATACTCTGTTCGGGGAGGCCTAGTTGTATTATTGCAAGACTGTTAATCCAGAGACCCAGCTAATGTTCTAGGGACCCGATTCAAATCCTGCCACTGCAGGTGGTGGAATTTGGATTCAATAAAATATCTTGAATTATGAATCTAACAATGATTGTGAATCCATTGTCGATTGTCAGAAAAACCCATCTGCTTCACTCATGTCCTTTAGGGAACGCAACTGCCATCCTTACCTGGTCTGGCCTACGTATGACTCCAGACCCACAGCAATGTGGTTGACTCATAACTGCTCTCTGGACAATTAAGGATGGACAATAAATGCTGCCTAGCCAGCAATGCCCCTCATCCCATGAATGAATAAAGAAAACAAAACATTCTGGTCACCACACTATCAGAAGGACATGATTGCACTGGAGAGAGTGCAAAGGAGATTCACCAGGATGTTGCCTGTGATGAACGGTCTCAGGAGAGACTGGATAGGAAGGCTTTGTTTTCTTTGGAGTAAAGGAGACAGAATGGAGATCTGATTGCGGTATACAAAATTATGAGAGGCATAGACTGAATAGATTGTGAGAATCTTTTCCCCAGGCCAGACAGGCCCAAGATCAGAGGCCATAAGTGTAAGGTGAAAAGTAAATGGTTTAGAGGTAACCTGAGAAAAAAAAATTCACCCAAAAGGTGGTAGAAATATGCTGCCTGAGAGGGTGGTGGAGGAAGGTGCTCTTGCAACATTTAAGAAGCATCTGAATAAGCACTTAAAATGCCAGGGCATAGTCGGTTATGGACCAAGTGCAGGTAAATGGGATTAGTGTAGTTTGGAGTTTGTTGGCCAGCATGGGCAGCACGGTGGCACAGTGGTTAGCACTGCTGCCTCACAGTGCCAGGGACCCGGGTTCGAGTCCAGCCTCGGGTGACTGTCTGTGGAGTTTGCACGTTCTCCCCGTGTCTGTATGGGTTTCCTCCGGGTGCTCTGGTTTCCTCCCACAGTCCAAAAGATGTGCAAGTTAGGTGGATTGGCCATGCTAAATTGCCCAAAGTGTTCAGGGAGGTGTAGATTAGGTGGGTTATAGGGGGATGGGTCTGGGTGGGATGCTCCGAGGTTCGGTGTGGACTTGTTGGGCCAAAGGGCCTGTTTCCACACTGTAGGGATTCTATTCTATTCTATGGTGGGTTGAAGGGTCTGTTTCTATTCTGTATGACTCTATGACTCACTCTATGATTGTAGGAGTTAGAGTGAAAGCCCCAATAATTTCAAGGCCAAAGGTTTCAAGATATCCAACAGCATAATTTCCCTTTTGTTCGGTCAGCCATCTTCTCTTTTTCGGCCAGGTAACAGTTGTACAATATAAAATCTCAATCAAGCCTCCTTCATTTCAAATTATATTTGCACAGATCTAATCATTCTTAGTTGGTGCAATCCTGAATATTGTATTAGAGCTTCAATCTTCAGTGTACTTTTATCTTCAATCTGATTTAATTTTTATTCAGGAACTGTTTGTGTTTAGGTAATAGTATCAACATAATTCATCATGTAAAAATGAATTATTATATTTGGATATGGATTGCATTATATTAGTTTAATGTGATAGCTTTGCAATGTTTCTAATGAGAATAAGTTGTTTTTCTTTAACTTAGAGAACAACTTCTAAATGTTCAAAATGTTTTCTAGACAGGAAGTTAAATTGTCCAAGTTCACCAGATGTTGCCAACGCAAATAAAATTATTGAGTCCACCCACAGCGTTATTTATCAATGTCTCCTTGGATACGAGATGGAAGGATCAGAAAGGATACAGTGCATCAATGGGCAATGGTCGGAAGTACCAACATGCAATATTCCTGGTGGTGAATAAAATATTAAAATTACTTAAGTTATAGCAGGAGAGACTTATTTTTCGATTATTACATGGGCTATGAGAATTACTGACTAGATCTTTTGTTGACCATTCCTTATTGTTCTGAAGAAGTTGTTGGCGAGCTGCTAAAAATGTGGTAAATCCAATGGTCTGATAGACACAGCATCAGGGAACCAGTACAGGCTTGCGTGGACTGCTGAAGTAAGAATTTAATATGCTGACACAGAGAATAGAAGGAGTACATTAAATGAAATTGATGCTGTAATACAGTTTTTAGCGTAAGTCATGATAGTCACCCATGGTCGAAATGGCTACAAGCTGGTTGACGGGAGTTGAATCTTCCATGTTACGAAGTCTTGAGAAAGAATAGGGGGATGTTATGCGGGCAAGGAGTTGGCTCATTATTCAGGATAGCTATTACAACACAGATGACATAACTAGGGAAAAGCTATCAGTGAAGACTCCATTGTTAGAAGTAAGGACTAAGTGAGGAATTAAGACTGTAAAGGGGGTGAGATGCAAGTCTCCAGATATCAACAATGCAGTGTCATAATGTATTGGCTTAAATCAGATGGTTGGATGAACAATGAAGGATATTCAATTCAATTCATTGTGAGATGAGCATTAGGCCCCTGTGAAGCCCTGATGCACAGATATACGTGGGATTTGCCCAGGAGGTTTAAACTTTCACTGGGCTGATTCACTGGTGACACTCACTGTAAATGTCTCTGACCCAGTGCTTAGGAGGGCGACTTGATCCAGATTGGGGGGTTTAATCAGATACTTACCCATAAAATGTAACATAACTGAATGCCTAGTTTAAGCCATGTAGCTCAGCTAAGCAACATAACTGACTAGTCCCCAGCCCCAGATTTACTCCACTAACCACTCAACTAACCTGCCTAAGCAGCTAACCACTTCACTGCTTCAAAATGCACAACCATCCAACACCACAAACTCCCCCACAACCTGACTTGTCTGTGCCCTGCCAAATCCTACCTGACTAACTCACATTCCCTCACCCTGTCGACCTAACACCTAATCGTGCTCCGCTCCCCAAATCAAGCAGACTGTCTTCCAACCACTCAACTTTGAGTGATCCAACTACCCAGCTCACACAGTTGCCCACCAATTCTCTAAATCAATTGACCATTTATTCATTCATAAAGTGACTTGGACCTTTGACAGCTTGGCACACATGGTAGCCCTGTAAACAGTGGAACATGTCCAGTTCTTCCCCCGACTCTACTGGACCTACCCTGGAGACACTGCATCGCCCATTTCTGCTGCAGCTGGCGTTGGAAAATTCCAGCAAAAATGAATAGTTTTGTTGGGTTAGAAAAAGCTTCCCTGGCAGCAGTAATGCACCCAGCATTGCCTCTCACTGCAAGATTGAGGCCATTACCTCAAAGATTAGTGAGGCTTATAGAAAAAGCAAAGTTGTTTTAAATGGGAGATATTTTCATAAACTGTGATGTCAGAAAGGTTATGAATTTCTTCAGTGCATTAAAGATGGTTTTCGGGAGCCGCATGTTCTAGAACCAATAAGTGGGAGGGCTATACTTGTCTTAAGTAAGGAGACCAACTTTGTTAATAGTCCATCAATAAGGAAACAATTATCTAAGTGATTATAATACGATCAAATTCAATGCTGGGTCTGAAAAAGAGATTAAGCACAATTGCCCCAAGATTCTGGATTTTGGTAAGGCTAACTTTAACTGATGAAACTGAGACAGACAGCAGCAAATTTTGAAAAACAATTTGGAAAGGAAATGCTACTAAGTTTAATTGCAATATAAGTTAAGAAATTAATAAAAGTAAATGTATTTTTTGCATTCTGTTCATAAAATCCAAATTTAGGCTGTGAAGATCCACCTAGCATAAAGAATGGTGACCAAGAGGGTCTTTCTAAACAATGGTATCAGCATGGTGACATTGTCACATATAGGTGTCAGAATTCATTTATTTTGGATGGACCAAATAAAGTTAAATGCTCAAGTGGGAAGTGGTCAGCTGCTCCACGCTGTATTCGTAAGTTGTTTCTCAATATTTATTCCAAGACTCAATCATGAAATAGGACTTTTCAGATACTTGTAAATAATTAATTGGCAACAAATGGTTTTGGATTTTTTTAAAAAAGTATTATCCATAGGTTGCGGGTATCACTGGCTAAGCCAGCATTGAATGCCCATCCTTAATTGAGCACAATTGACAGTCAGCTATTGCCATGTGGACTGGAATCACATTTCTGCCAGACCAGGTAAGGATTTCATATCTCGGTGAACAAGATGGGTTTGACTACAATTGACAGGGGTTGCACAGTTGCCAATATACTAGTGATTTATTTGTCTCAAATTTCGCCATAAGCTGTGGTGAGATTCTAAACCATGTCCCCAGAAAATTAATCTAAGGGTTCAGTAATATTATCACTATACCGCTGCCTCCCCCTTGTCACGTTGAACAAGGTGAAAGAACAGTGAGAAATGATTGATTAGACAGACTTTAAATAGTGAATTAAGATGCTGTTTCTTTTCCTGGTTAGACAGCTTTTGTTCAAAGGACGTGGTTTCACTGACATACAATCAATTCTAACTTGAGGTTACTTCTGCTGCCATGGACTTCTTTGACATTGATCTGTGTTTTTGAACTGTTGCCTTTGCAGAAGAATGGCAACCACTAATGCAGCTCTACCTTGGACCCCTGATTAGGAAAACTAAAGGTTGAATCTTAAGTTTTTGGCAAAGTGACAGTTTCATTGAGTTCCATGGTTGATTTTCTCTCTGCGAGTTTCAGGAGGATTTCTCACAGTATATCACCAAACTCACCTCATTATCTGTGCCACTCTGGTAGTGCCCCTTTCTCTTTTGATTCTAGCCCCATCCTACACTCGCCATATCCCAAACAGCTCACCATTGCTGTGATATCCCAGAATGAATGACATCCCTGGCTCCATTTACAAAAGGCCAATGTGAACACAAACAAGCACTATCAGTCTGGAACAGCCCCGCACAGATCTCTCATTTGTCCCTGACAAGGCAGAGAATAGAAAATGCTGAAGTATCTTGGCAGGTCTGGTAGCATCAGTGGAGACAGAAACGGAGTTAGCATTTCTAGTTCAATATGACTCTTCTTCAGGTTTGATTTGTTCTCCTTTTATCATTCTGCCACCATCTCTGCTGGGTAGGCCTGCCAGTGGGACAGGACATACCTAGGATGATGACAATGGTGTCTGGGATATTACTTGTGAGGTACAATTCTGGATATCCCTAATGTACTCAACACCTCTCCCAATTTTGGCACAAGCCCCCAGATGACATTGCAAGGTCGACAAGGCTAGGTTTGCATTGGTCGATTCCAATGGCTGATCCATCTAATGTACCACACCTGGTGTCACATATAGTCCAGACTAGTTAAAGAACAAAGAATAACAAAGAACAGGACAGCATAGGAACAGGCCCTTTGGCCCACCAAGCCTGCATTGACACATGATGCATTTCTAAACTAAAAACCTTTTTGCCTCTATGTAGTCCATATCCCTCTATTCCCTGCCTATTCAATATCATATAAGAGATGCCTCTTAAATGTTGCTATTGTATTCACCTCCACCACCTCCTCTGGCAGTGCATTCCAGGCATTTACCACCTTCTGTGTAAAAGAAAAACTTGTCTCTCTTATCTTCTTTAAGCTTACCTCCTTTTACCTTAAACCTGTGTCCCCCAGTAATTGACATTTCTACCCTGGGAAAAAGACTCTGACTATCCATTCTATTCATGCCTTTCATAATTTTGTAAATTTCTATCTGGTCGCCCCTTAGTCTTCAACATTCAAGTGAAATCAAACCAAGTTTGTCTAATCTCATCATTGCTATCACCCTCCAAACCAGGCAACATGCTGGTAAAGTGTTTCTGTACCCTCTCCAAAGCTTTCACATTCTTCTGGTAGTGTGATGACCAGAACTGTACAGAATATTCCAAGTATGGCCTATCTAAAGTTCTATACAACATAATTTGCCAATTTTTATACTCTATGTCCTGACTGATGAAGGCAAGCATGCCATATGTTATCTTGACCACTTTATCCATTTGTGTTGCCACTTTCGGGGAACTGTGGACTTATACGTCAAGATGCCTCTGTATGTTGATGCTACTAAGGACTCTGCCATTAATTGCTAAGAACAGCTGATTTCCTTCCCTAACGGGGTATTAGTGAACCAGATGGTTAAAAGGTCACCATTAGACAACCTATTAATTAGAGAGATTTTTTTATTGAAATAAACTTTCAACATCTGCTCTGGCAGGATTCAAACACATGCCCAGGATTCTGGATTACTAGTCCAGCAACAATATCATGACAACATTGCCTTCCTACTTTATCAATGTCGTCTCATGCTCATTATCCAGATGAGCAGAGAGTGTGGAGGATCCTGCACACTCCGATAGGGAGAGCAGTGGAAAACCCCTATCTCCAGCATTTATCCCTGTCACTTGTGCTGTATAGCCCAATATGTGGCAACATGAAAGCTGAACTGTCCAGTGACTTGTCATCAGAACTTTGAGTAGCTAGGAAAAGGAAGTATGTGGATATGATCATCTACTGAGCTCCAGTCCCTTTCCTGCTCTCTATTTGAGCAGCAGCTTCTTGTGTTGCCTCTATTCATTTTCCCTGTCTTGCTTTTGATTGATTGATTGATTTTGATTGATCCATTTTCACATGTACCGAAGTACAGTGAAACTCTTTGTTTAACAGCAGTACAAGCAGATCATAGTAAGCAAGGATGTACAGATCAAAACGACTTAGACAGAGGTACAGGCTACATTGCACAGGGCGAGATCAACATTAGCAAGATCATTCGTTATTTATATATATACAGAGTCCATTCGTGAGTCAACTAATGGCTGGGAAGCAGCTGTTCCTGAACCTGCTTGTGCATATGTTCAATCTTCAGTATCTTCTGCCTGACGGAAGGGGTTAAAGGAGATCATTACCGGGGTGCGATGGGTCTTTGATGATGTTGGCAGTCTTTTTGCGGCAGTGAGCCATGTAAATAGAGTCCATGGATGGAAGGTTGGCTTCCGTGATAGTCTGGGCTGAGCACACCACCTTCTGTAGTTTCTTACAGTCCTGGGCAGAGCAGTTGCCATACCTGACCGTTATGCGCTTGGACAGTATATTTTCAATGATGTATCTGTAAAAGTTGGTGAGGGACCTTATGGACATGCCAAATTTCCTGAGCCTCCTGAGGAAGAAGACACGTTGTTGTGCCTTCTTGACTGTCGCATTTATGTGGGAAGTCCAGGGCAGTTTGTTGGTTACTGTCGCTCTGAGGAACTTCACGCTCTCTACCCTCTCAACCTCAGTTCCCTTAATGTAGATGGGGACGTGTTCTCCTCCTTTATTTCTGAAGTCAATGATCAGTTCTTTTGTTTTTCCAATGTTGAGAGAGAGGTTGTTTTTATTGCACCACGTCATCAAGTCCTCTACCTTACTTCTGTATTTTGATTTTTTGCTGTTAGATATCCGTCCCACTACGGTGGTGTCATCAGCAAACTTTTAGATGGCTTTCATTTGGAGTTTGGCAACACAGTCATGGGTGTACAGGGAGTACAGTAGGAGGCTGAGGACGCATCCTTGTGTTGAGCGTTGTTGTGGAGGAGTTTCAGTTACTTATCATCACTGATTGCGGCCTATGGGTCAGAAAGCTGAGAATCCAGTTGCAGAGGGTGGAGCCAAGACCAAAGTCATGCAGTTTTGAGATCAGTCTGGAGGGGATAATCGTGTTGAAGGCGGAGCTGTAGTTGATGAGCAGGAGTCTGATGTAGGTGTCTTTGTCGTCCAAATGTTCCAGGGATGAGTGCAGGGCTAGGGATATGGCATCCGCTGTGGACCTGTTATGTCAGTAGGCAAACTGTGGGGGATCGAGACAGGCTGGGAGACTGGACTTGATGTGGGCCATGACCAGCATCTCATGATTATTGAGGTCAGAGCCACTATGCAGTAGTCATTAAGGTACATTGCATGTGCTTTCATAGGCACGGGGATGATGGTGGTCTTCTTGAAGCAGGTGGGGACTTGGCTTGTAGGAGGGAGAGGTTGAAAATGTAGGTGAATGCCTCCACTAGCTGATCCACACAGGATCTGAGTGTTCGACGGGGGACACTGTATGGGCCTGTCACTTTCCTCAGGTTGCTCCCTGGAAGACCCATTTGACGTCTGCAGCAGTGATGGAGGGAACAGGTGTGTCTGGGGCCGTCGGTGCAGGTATCACCACACTGTTGGCATTCTGCTCAAACCGAGTATAGAAAGCATTGAGCATGTCAGGGAGGGATGTGTCTTTGTCTGCCATCTTACACTGTTTCATTTTATACCTGTAATGTTGTTTAGGCCTTGCCAGAGACGGTGGGAGTCTGTTTGGTAGATTTGGGCCTCTAACTTGGTCCAGTACTGCCTTTTGGCCTCACTGATGGCTTTGTGGTGGTCAGATCTGGATTTCTTGTGTTGGTCTGGGTCACTCAGTTTGAATGCCGAGCGTCTGGTCTTCAGTAGGGAGTGAATTTCCTGGTTCATCCAAGGTTTACGCTTGGGAAATGCTCAGATTGACTTCTTTGGTATGCAGTCCTCCATGCACTTGCTAATGAAATCCGTGACGATGGTGGCGTACTCACCTAGGTTTGCTGCTGAGTACTTGAACACGGACCAGTCCTCCAATTCCAACCAGTCCTGGAGACGGTCTTTCACAGCTTTGGATCTGCATTGTACTTCCTTTTGTGCAAGATCCTCCAGTTTCAGCTTCTGCTTGTAAGCTGGGAGGAAGAACACAGTGCTGTGATCTGATTTTCTGAGGTGTGGGCGGGGGATGGAGCGGTAGGTGTCTTTGATGGTTGTGTAGCAGTGGTCCAGGATGTTCGGCCCTTTGGTGGGGCAGGAGATGTATTGGTGGTACTTCAGCAGCACCCGCTTGAGGTTGGCTTGATTGAAGTTGCCAGCCACAATAAATAGGGCTTTGGGAAATTTTAGGCTTAGGTGATAAAAACTACTGCATCCATGACTGGGAACTAATGGTCCAAGTACAGCCCAATTTAACTCAATTTGTCTGGGAAATTATTATTTTATAGGTACTGAAATATGCGAAAGCTAAGCATAACTAACTTGATTGTGTTTTTCTCCGATTTAGCGCCATGTAGCATATCAGTGCAGGACCTTGAAGATAATGATGTCCAATTAGATTGGTCATTGACGGAAACAGTATATCTGAAACATGGAGACCGTGTAAAATTTAAATGCCCCAGTGGTTTGCATATTCAAACTCCTGCAGAACGATTTTGCAGAAATGGAAGCTTAGAAATTCCCAAATGCCTCAGTGGTAAGTAAAACCAAATAATCCAGCAACATCATTGGTCTGATTTGCTGTTTGATTGCATATTTCCTGTTGTTAATTATACCTTAACAAAAAAACTTATTGCATCTGCTATATGAAATATTATACTATATAGAAAATTCCTTATGGCAGCACGGTGGCTCAGTGGTTAGCACTGCTGCCTCACAGCACCAGGGATCCGGGTTTGATTCCAGCCTCAGGCGACTGTCTGTGTGGAGTTTGCACATTCTCCTCGTGTCTGCATGGGTTTCTTCCGGGTGCTCCAGTTTCCTCCCACAGTCCAAAGATGTGCAGGCTGGGTGGATTGGCCATGCTAAATTGCCCATAGCATTCAGGGAGGTGTAGATTAGGGGGATGGGTCTGGGTGGGATGTTCTGAGGTTCGGTGTGAAATTGTTGAGCCAAAGGGCCTGTTTCCACATTGTAGAGATTCTTTAAGAGGAAAAAAGAAAACTATTTTCATGTGTTTCAGTTAACATAAGAATAACATAGAGCTGTGATTTCCCAAAGAGTTGGGTCTAGTGATTTTATAATATGGCAAAAGTTTAGAAATTATTCTCTAGTGCCAATAGACAACACAAAGTTTTAGCATAACCTAATATCTGTTCCAAACTCCAGACATTTGGAAAAACAAAAGCTTTCTAATGGCCACAGCAAATCAATGCATGCTTCAAAAACTCAGCTGATGGACAAACCCAACACTTGCCCTGATCTGTGATAAAAGGGTGACAAATCATACACAGATCAGGATATCAAGTAATCATAATCTCTGGTAGAAAGTTCCATAATGAGGGTTTTCCACACCCTTTCTCCACAACCGTCCCACCCCAATCTGGTATTTAATGAATTTGGATCAATGAGGAATTGGAGTGCTTCTTGTCTTTTGAGGTTAGGGCACCATAGATCTATGCATTATATTCTAATTTCTGCAGAGTGGAATCAAGAATGTTTTCATATATTGAGCATTATGTCACCTCCAGAATAATTTGGATGCTGTTGGTTATTTTCAGTACCTATACAATAACAGGATCCAATTTAATTTTAGTCATTTATAACTAAGAAATAAGTAGTGTATTATTTTAGCTTACGATTGTATGTGAATACCTTGTGGTCTGCAATTGCATGTATCAGATAATCAGATGGCTGTAATGGAATATACTTTGGTGGCTGATAGATTTAGCTTGGAGCTGACAGGAATATTCCTGCTCCTTCTAGCTTCACAGTCAGCTATGTATCTTTTAAAAACATGCATCTGGATGGCTGCAAGTCTGTCAAGGACCTTTCGTTAGAATATTATAAAAATGCTGCAATCAGGATCGACCTCTTGTTCATTTAGTCATCAAACTGATGTCAAACTCTTTATTAGCATACTGAAGAGCCTTGATGCCTGAATTAGGATTACTAAAGACCCTGTGCAATGCCCAAACCAATATTGTACAGGACACAATATTTGTGCTTCCTGGTGTTTTCTACTTCGCACTACTATGCCACATGGACTGAACCATTACTGGGCCTTTAAGCCTCTGCTTAAAAGATCTGATTTAATGATATATATCTATGCAAGCACTCCATATGGAATGTGTTTCACATCCTGTCAATGCCATTCATGACCATCCTGTGACTGGTGTCGCAAGAGGAAATAATTCTTCCATCCTATTAAACCCATAATCTTAAAGGCCTCCATTAGGCCAGGCCTCAGACTTCACTTTTCAAAAGACTGAATAAAATTGGTCTATTGAAACTCATTCTAGATATTGTATTACATCTCTGAACTAATTTTTCGATGATTACCTGGACTACATCACCATTGTTAAACTTAGGAATTCATGTAGTTGTCTGGCAGGGTTTACTTTCTGGATGAATTTTATGTACATGAAATAGTGCCTCAGCAATTACTTCCCCTCTGCTATTACTTCCATAACCTCTAGCATGAGTGGATTACAATTGATCTGGTTCCACTGTGCTATCTTGTCTAATGCTGGAGATCACAGCGGGTCAGACAGGATCCATGGGGAGAGAGCAAGCTAAAACTTCGAGTGTGGATGACTCTTCATCACAACTGAAGTGAAGTGTGGAGGGGACAGCATTTATGCTATAGCTTGGGAGGTGGGATTGTAGTGGGTATAGAGTGCTGGGGGAGAAAAGATGTTGATAGTTCAGATTAAGTGATCGGAATGTGAGAATGGCAGCACAATGGTTTGTCGACTGCCAGACTGGAAAGGACAGTAACTGGGATGGGGGGGAGAGGAGGACATGATAACAAGCTAACAAAAAGGGAAGAAATGAGAGTTGGTTCACAATTTTTTAATTTTTTAGGACGAGCAAGAATTAATATTTGGATAGTGTCATTAACATAGCAAAATGTTCCTACACGCTTCACAAGAATGTTATCAGATCAAATTTTGAGCCTGAACCACATGTAAAATGATTGGGATACATCAAAGTAAAAGGCAAATTGAAAAGGGGGATTTTGAGGAGCGGAGCGATGAGAGAGCGTATTTAGTGGTTAATTCTAGAAATTGAGGATTGAACACCTGAGATTAGCAAGGTTCAGGTGTAGTGCAGATTTAGGGTGGACCTTGGGGGCTAGGGAAGTATCTGGGATGGGAGATCTGAAAGAAAACATGACAATAAGGGAGAAAGTTGTAAGGGAGGTTAAGAGAACAGAGAAATGAGACTAAAAAAATGATTAGTTCTGATCTAGAGTACAAAATGCGCAAAATTCACAAAATCAGATTAAATTACATTTTTCCTTATAAATATCTCTGCAATCATAACTGATGTCACTAAAGTGCTTGCGTAGATATATATCATTAAATCAGATCTTTTAAGCAGAGGCTTAAAGGCCCAGTAATGGTTCAGTCCATGTGGCATAGTAGTGCGAAGTAGAAAACATCAGGAAGCACAAATATTGTGTCCTGTCCAATATTGGTTTGGGCATTGCACAGGGTCTTTAGTAATCCTAATTCAGGCATCAAGGCTCTTCAGTGTGCTAATAAAGAGTTTGACATCAGTTTGATGACTAAATGAACAAGAGGTCGATCCTGATTGCAGCATTTTTATAATATTCTAACGAAAGGTCCTTGACAATAGCACAGATGTATTTAGGAGGAAGCTAGAAAAGCATGTGAGGGAAAATCAATAAAGGGATATGTAGATGGCCTGAGATAAATTAGGGAAAGAAGCATAAACACAAGTAGGAATCTTTCAACCAATGTAACTACATTGTAATGCTATATAATGTGTAAGATGCTCAAACCTGGCCTTTAGTTTGGACTTAACCAACTACCTATTTGCAACATTGAACGTATACTGTGAGGCAAATACCCCTAAATTCTCACTGAAATCGACATATCATTAAATAGAAATAACACTTCATCTTAGGTTCATTTGTAGCTCTTATTTCATAGACCATTGTGTTTTCATATTACACGACCCTTACTGTGTGAAGTATTTCATGATGGAACTTCCAGAATCATATTTTTTTTAAAAGTTAGTTTCTTTGAATGTCTAAGATTTTTCAAACATCAACTGTAAAAGCATATGTTTGCTCTCTTTTTCTGCAGAGGAAAACACGTTCTGTTCAACATTGCAATATCTCGAATGCCCAGGATGTGCAACAACTGAAATTTGTGTAGAATATAATATTCAAAAAGTAACAAGTTCACGATCAGGTAAGATAATTCCAAGAGAACTGCTTGGAAAAACATCCTGTGAATAATTAAGACGTGCAGCACAAATACGTGATTAATATTATGACAGAGCTCTGTCATTGAGTTTCATTTGGAGTAGCCTGGCTGCATTTCATAGACAACATGGTAATGACCCTCACCTGCAATCAAACAACTGAAGACGTTCACTTCTGAAGAAGAGTCACAGTGAATTTTAATGTTTAACTGTTTCTTTCTTCTAAGGTGCTGCCAGAGCTACTAAGTTTCTCCAACACTTTCAGTTTTTATTTCAGTTTTCCAGCATCCAGCACAGTTTGGTTTAGTTTCTGTGTAAGTGAGGATACTTACTATCTTAACATGGAATCATTAAAATGAACATTAATCTGTTTATCTCTAGTCATATATAAAGTGGATAATAAACATTTTTGATCTAAAACTTCTGCAAATCTGCAATTTGCAAACATGCATTTCAGTTGACTCATTGTGGGAACGCTCTATTTGATCTAAGGAGATGATTTACTTCTATCTGTGCTGGTATACTGAGAGTTGTGAATATGGCTTCCAATTATTGTCATATATTCCTAGTGGAAGTGCATCTTAATTTCCACCAGCTTTCTGAGCAGCAGCATAACCTTTTTGACCTTTCTTTCATGTTCTTCCTTTTGAAAGTCGGTCCACTATTCTAATTGAATTTTATGAAGTATTTGGCAGCTTTTCTGCTTCAGTACATAAATTTATTTAGAATCATTGAAAATGTAAGTGCCGCAGTTGGCCTTTGATCCTTGAGTTTAGTCTGCTATTTAATTAGGTTAACATGAATGCGAACCCCAACTTAATTTACTGTCACCGAGATCTACAACACAGGAAAAGGCCCTTTGGCCCATCATGACTGCGCTGGTCAAAAACAACCACCTAACCATTCTAATCCCACTCTCCAGCACTTGACCCATAGCCTTGTATGCCTTGTCATCAGAAGTGCATATCTAAATATTTCTTAAATGTCATGAAGATCTCTGCATCTACAACCCTTACAGGCAGCAAGTTCCAAGTTCCCGCCATCCTCTGGGTGGAAAAGCTTTTACTCACATTTCCTCTAAACCTCCTGCCACTTACCTTAAATCTATGCCTCCACTCACTGATCCTTCCAAGAAGGGGAAAAGTTTCTTCCTGTCTTCCCATCTATAATTTTATAATCTCTAACGTTTTGGACTAGATTTGTAGCTCGGGTTGTGGGTGTTGATGTTGGTTGGCTCGCCGAGCTGGTTTGTTGTTCCGCAGACGTTTCATCACCCTGCTGGGAAACATCATCAGTGCAGCCTCCGGTGAAGCGTCAGTGTTTTCCCGCCTGGTTTTTAAACTCAGGAATCGGGTATTACCACGCAGTGAGAGATACAAAACACCATCAACAACCCACAAGCCCGGAAAACAGCAGAATAAAACAGCCGCAAGATGGTAAGGGTAATGATAAACGATGCACACAATCGGCTCCACAAATACAACAGAGAAATTATGCGCTGAGAAATCTTTATTCCTGGAAGCTACCAAACAATACTGTACAATGGACATGGAACGAGCCATCAACATCAGACAACAGACCACAAGAGCCAAGGAAAGACAGACGCTTCAAGACAAGCTAGCCACACTTACCCACAAAAACGACAACAACAGAACAAACACATGGATAAGAAACCTCTCTGACAGGAAACTGACAGACACGGAAAAGCTGTTCTCACCTGAGAACTGAACTAAAACTACAGGGACGCCAACAAAATGGAATTCCTAGCCACACTGAGGACCAGCAACATCAACGAGGAAACACAACAAACGATAAGACCTCGACACTAAGCAGAAGGAGCGAACTCAACACCCTCAACACATCGGAAAGACAGGCCCTGGAAGGACTGAAGAAGGACAAGAATATCACAATACTACCCGCAGACAAAGGGTGCATGACTGTAATACTGAACAAAAGGGACTACATCACCAAGGCACAGGCACTGCTCACCAACGAAAACACATACCGGCCAGTACAAACTGACCCGACACCGCAACTAGGCAACAAAATCCTCTACCCGCTAAAAAGACTTAAACAGACCGGACAGATCAACAAAGCAGACTTCTTAAGAATGAAACCCGAAGGAACCAACACACCCCGATTCTACGGCCTCCCGAAAGTGCACAAGCTGGAAGTACCCCTTAGATCCATAGTCTCCCTACCAGGCACTCCATCACACAGATTAGCCAAGGAACTACAAAGGAGACTCAGGCACCTAGTCAACAAGTCACCCCACTCTATCCACTCAGCCCAAGAATTCCGCAACTCCATCAAAGACATATGGATAGATGACGAAGAGACCATGATATCATTTGATGTCACTGCCCTATTTACATCAATAGACATACCACTAGCAAGGGAAACAATGACAGCACTATTGGAACAAGAGCAAGACCCCAGTGAAACCATCTTCACAGACAACATGCTCAAATTGCTGGACCTAATCCTCACGACCCACTTCACTTTCAACGGCCAAACATACGAACAAATCAATGGGACACCCATGGGATCACCTATCTACAGACTCATAACAGAGGCAGTGATGCAAAGACTAGAAAGGATGGCCCTTCCGCTAATCCAACCAAAACTATGGATACGCTACGTGGACGACACCTTTGTCACCATTAAACGGACCAAACTAGAGGAGACACACAAACTTCTAAACAACACCCTCACCAGAATAAAATTCACCAGAGAGGAGGAGAAGAACAAACAGCTCCCATTCCTGGGCATCATGGTAGAGCGCAAGACAAATGGGGAATTCCAAACGAAAGTACACAGAAAAGCCACACACACGGACCAGGTACTGAACTTCAACAGTAACCATCCCAACACACACAAACGAAGCTGCGTGCGAACACTATTTAAACGGGCAACAACACACTGCAGCAACACAGAACTACGCCAAGAGGAGGAAGAATACCTCTTCCAGGTTTTCAAGGATGATGGATATCCAAAAAACTGGGTCAGAAGATGCCTACACGAACAACATCAGGAAGATACTACACGCCCCGACACACTCATCACGCTACCCTACATCAGGAACACATGGAACTCGCCACAAGACTCCTACGACCGCTAGGCATCAAAGTGGCACACAAGCCCACATCAACCCTACGATAATTGCTCACCCGAACTAAAGACCCAGTCCCCGTCATGGACAAGACCAATGTCATCTATAAGATCCCCTGCAGAGACTGTGAGAAACACTACATCAGACAAACAGGAAGGAAACTAACAACAAGAGTACACGAACACCAACTGGCTACAAAAAGGCATGACCAATACTCACTCATCTCTATCCACATGGATAAGGAGAACCACCAATTCGACTGGGACAACACCAAAATCCTGGAATAAGCTAAGCAAAGACAGGCACGGGAATTCCTAGAAGCCTGATACTCCACGAAGAAAGCCATTAATAAACACATAGAACTCGACCCCATATACACTCCACTATGAAGGAAAACCGGAAGTGAGGCAATCCAGCTCAACGGACTCCAGAGTTTAAAAACCAGGCGGGAAAACACACTGCACTGATGATGTTACCCAGCAGGGTAATGAAATGTCTGTGGAACAACAAACCAGCTCGGCGAGCCAACCAACCTCAATAACTTTATAATCTCGATTTCCTCTGCTCAAAGGAAAACAACCCTAGCCTGTGCAATCTCTCTTCATAACTGAAATTCTCCAGCTAAGGCAACATCCTGGTAAATCTGTTCTGCACCGTCTTCAGTGCTATCACATTCTCTCTTACAATGTGGATTCCAGAACTGCATACAATACTCTAGCTGTGGCCTAACTAACATTCAATATAGTCCCAGCATAATTATCTGCTCTTAAATTCTGCCTCAACTAATAAAGGTAAGTATACCATATCCCTTCTTAACCACTTTATCCACCTGTCCTGGTGTACATGCACACCAAGGTCTCTCTGATTCTCAATGCTTCCTCGGGTCCTAGCCTAACATCTAAGGTGGAGAAAATGTTAGCCTAACAACTATTAGAGTGAATAATCAAGGATCTGATCAAAGTCTTCAAGAATTTGACAGGATAAAACAGCCTGAATGAAGATAAATTATTTCCACTAGATAAGGATTCTAAAACTAGAGGGCATAGTCTGAGAATTATAGCCAGATGGTTCAGGAGAAATGTTAGGAAGCACTTCTATGCACAAAACGTGGTTGATGTCTGAAACCCTCTTCCACAAATGTTGATGTTAGATTAGTTGTTAATTCTAAATCTGAGATAGATCAATTTCTGTTAAGCAAAGGTATCTAAGGATACAGGCGAAAGGCAGGTAGAAAGAGTTAGGCCACAGATTAGCCATGATCTCAATGAATGGTGAAACAGGCTCAAGGAGCTGAATGGCCTACTCCTGCTCCTACATTCCTGTGCATTTCCTTGCCTTGGTTGTCCAACCCAAGCGCTTCACTTTACATTTATCCAAACTGAGTTTCTTTTACCACTTATCAGCTCATCTGACCAGCCCATGTACATCTTCCTGTAATCTAATGATATCTTCCTCTCTATTTACCAATTTTTGTATCACCTGCAAACTTACTGATCAACTCTCCTATAATCAAGTCTAAATCATTTATATACAGCACAAATAGCAAGGGCCTTACCCATTGGGGATCCTATTGGACAGAAAAACGCCCCAAATCATCACCCTCTGCTTCCTGCCACTCAGTCAATTCTGGATCCAATTTACCGAAGTACCTTGGATCCCATGGGTTCTTACCTTTGCGTTCAGTCTTCCATCTGGAACTTTGTCAAAAGCCTGACTGAGGTCTTAATAGACTAGCATTGCCCTCATCTATAAATCTGGTTACCTCTTCAAAAGGTTCAATCAAGTTGGTCAGATATGACCTCCCTATAAAAAAACCATGCTGACTGTTCTTAATTAATCCCTGCCTCTACAAATGCAGATTAATTCTGTTCCTCAGAATTGCTTCCAGAGGAGACTTATCGACTTTTAAGCCTACCAGGCCACTCCGAATCTCCTCTCTCTCTCGATGCTAATTTCTTTAATTGTATCACAGATCTTCTCCCTGATTTCCATACCCACAATGTCCCTCTCACTAGTGAACACTGCCACAAAGTATCCATTTAGAACCTTACCTACACCCTCCGGCTCCTCGCGTAAATTACCATCGTGGACCATAATGGGCCCTACTCTTTCCCCGTTGTCCTTTTACCCTTAATTTACCTGTAAGACAAATTAGGATATTCCTTTATTTCACCTATCAGTATCCTTTCATGACCCCTTTTAGCTCTCCTATTGTAGGGGAGGCAATAACCTCGTGGTATTATCATGGGACTGTTAATCCAGAGACCCAGATAATATCCTGGAGACCCGGGTTCCAATCCCGCCACGGCAGACAGTGGAATTTAAATTCAATAAATATCTGGAATTATGGATCTAATGATAACCATGAATCCATTGATGATTGTCGGAAAAAAACCATCTGGTTCACTAATGTCCTTTAGGGAAGGAAACTGCCATCCTTACCTGGTCTGGCCTACATGTGATTCCAGACCCACAGCAATGTGGTTGACTCTTAACTGCTCTCTGGGCAATTAGGGATGGGCAATAAATACTGCCTGGCCAGCGACGCCCTCATCCCGTGAATGAATAAAGAAAAAAAAATTCAAATTCCCTCTTGCACATTCTATACCCCACTAGGGCTTTGCTGTTTTGAGTCCTCAGTACATGTCGTAAACCTTTTTTTCTCATAATCCAATGCTACATATCCCTCAATATCCAAGGTTCTTAGGCAAAGATGGTCCTGCCCTTTTTTTTTGTTGAAACGCATTGGCCCTGTGCTCTCCATATTTCCTTCTTGAATGTATCATGCAGTTCTAAGATATATCTGCTCCCAGTCCACTCTGGTCAAATCAGAACTGATCTTATTAAAATCAGCATTTCCTCAATTTAGAACTTTGATTTCAGGCCCATTCTTGTCCTTTCTCTAAACAATCTTGAATCTAACAGAGTTTTAATCGCTGTCTGCAAAATGTCTGCCTTTTACACCAAACATTTATCTGCTTGAAAGTTCCCATTGTTCCCAATCTTCTTGAAGGAGTAACTTCCAGATTTCCACCAGCTTTCATGTGAAATGGTTGTTCCACGTTCTCTACCTGAATAGCATGTATACATTTTCAGGATGATGTGTACTTGTTTTTGCTTCTCGCTACCAGAAGAAATAGTATTCACCCTATTAAATCCTTTCAGCATTTTCAAACACATTATTATTATTGATTCATCACCACTGAGCACTGCTGGCCAAGGCCACGATTTATTGGTCAAACCTTGAGAAGGTGGACAAAGTCAGAAATCACATGACACCAGGTTATAGTCCAACAGGTAGCGTGTAATTTCTGATGTTGTCCACCCCAGTCCAACACCGGCATCTCCACATCTTGAGAAGGTGGTAATGGGCTGCATTATTGAATACAAGTGAGTAGCCTGCTAGGGTAGAGGGCACTTAAGAGCCAGTCACTTGCAACTCCAGAGTCAGATACAAGTTAATCTGGGTAAGGACAGCATTTCTACTTTGCTAAAAATGCATCAATGAAACCAGTTAGGATATTACACAATGCAGTCATTTCAGGATCACCATGACTGGCTTTTCATTCCATAGGTAACTTGATTTATTGAATTTATCTTCTCCAGCTGCTAGAATGGCATTGAAACTCATGTCAGTAGATCATTAGTCCATGAGTCTGATTACTCATGCAGCAATATGCTACTATATCTCTTGTTACTGTATATTATAATTAGTTTGCCCTTCAATCTGCTATACAAAATAGCCATGCAAACTAATTTATGCCATGTCCTCATAATTTAATCTCCTTAATCCCACTATTATTCCATTGAATCTGGGCTGCAGTCACTTTCTGTATACATTTCTTTCCCAAGGCCTTTGGAAAGAGTACTGTTTTAAGAATGCAAAAATATTTACATAACTCTATTCAGCCCATTGAAACAACACTCTCTTTCAGTAGCAACCCAGGTTTACTTCCACACCAATTCCACCTTCCCGTCGTATCCTTTTTTTTTTAAATTCCTTGTTCAAAAACCTATTTATCTTGTTCCTGCATATACTTATTGACTGAGCATTGAGAACCATCTAGGGTATATAATTCCAAAGTTTCACAATTCACAAGAGATTTCTCCACGTCACAGCCCTCATCAGCTGCTCCTTTATCCTGAGTCTCCGACTCCAAATAGACTCTCCAGAGAGGATAACAAGACTTTCTGTATGTACCTGTCAATCCCAGTACAGAATATATACATTTCAACAAGGTAATCCCTCATTTTTACCTAATTCCAAAGTATATATGACATTTCTACCTGATAATAAATTTACTTCGTTTTGATACATTTACATTGCAAAATGTATCAAGAGTGAGTTTGTAGGAAGTGAAAGCTAGACAGGAGCAATCCTTGACAGAATGTGTAATATCTTTGTAAATTCTGTACATTCAACAATTAATCAGTGCAAAATGAGGCCATTTGTCCCATCTTGTCTGCAACAGCTCTTCAAATGAGCATTTCACTTCCTGCAATTCTTCAGCCTTCTCCATAGAAACCTGCACATTGTTCCTTCTCAAATAACCAGTCCCTTCCATTGTAAATGCATCAATTGAATATGCCTGTAACACTCTGTCAGACATTGCATTCCAGATCCTCATTAAATCACAACATGATAAAGCTTTCTCTCATTTTTTTTGTTACTATGACTAATTATTGATTCATCGTGTGAAATCTGTGACCCCTTGTTCTCTCTTACTCTTTCATGAGTAAGGATGGTTTCTTCCTATTTACTCTGACCAACCTCCTTAAATATTTTGTTTTCCTTAAATATTTGCATACCTAACTAACATAGATCCATATAAGGGTATCTGGATAAATATATGAGGAAGAAAGGAAGAGATAGATATGGTGAAAAGGAGAGATACAGGGGGAGTGTGAAGGAGTATGCATGGAGCAGAATCATTGGTACAAACCAGATGGGCCAAATGACCTGTTTCACTGCTGTATGTTTGGGTAGAATTCTGTGTAGTTGAGCAAATGAATGCAGGTCTGCCTACTATGTCATCAGTTTTGCATCATTCTGTAAATGTTCTTTGATAGATGACTTCACACAAAGCGTTACTTTATTTTCACAATTCTGCATATTTCGTTTCTCTGTGATCTGTCTGTAACCATTTTGCTTTGATACTTTAGATCCCAGCAGGCTGAGCTTAGTAGCTCTGAATGGAATTGGAAATGCTTCATTTAAAGTGCAGAAAATTCAAAAAACAGGGAAGAACATTTTGAAGTTTGCCATCACGGAATCAACTGATGCTATTGTGAATGTAAAATATAGCAATGAGCAAAGCAGTATACAATATAATAATCCTGTGATTGGAGATTATTGTTTAACATTTCCCACAGATAATTTTGTAAGTAGAAAGCTTTCTGCTTCTCTTTATATAAACTCATAGCTTAAAACAAAGCAAAACATGGCAGTTCGGAAAATAGCTGAGTTATATTTCAGAGGTAATAATGATTCTACTTGATGACTGCTGTTCCATTGATCTGATCAATGTGCTTCGGCTCATTATAATTTTAAATGCCTTATTACTGTATGCAGAGTGAAGTTCAATACTAAGTAGAAGAGATTTATAAAAAATTAAAGGCTATTGAATTAACAGCAGAAATAGCAATTTTGTAAGTAACTACAATATATTAAAATAATCATACAAATAATGATGTCAAAAAAAATCTGATGATGAAAGGCAATCAACCAAGAACATTATCTTTGTTTCTCACCACAGGTGCTCCCTGATTTGACTTTCTTTTAGCCTTTTTTGTTCTTATTTCAGACTTCCAGTATCTACAGTATTTTGATATTATAAATATATTAAAATCTTTGTTGTGCAATTACAGGTCACCTATCAATGCATCATTGATGCTTCTCTAGAATGTACCTCATTCCTCCTTATCTCTGTAATACTTTCAAAAATAATGAAATACATTGAGTAAATGCAATAATAAAAATTAATAAAATGTCCCAAGCTGTCAAACAGGAGCATTATAAAGTAAAATTTGACGCTAAGGCATGTAACAAAATACGAAGCCAGATGGTCAAAAACTTAGCAAAGGAGGCAGGTTTTAAAGAACATCCTAAAGGAAAGAGAATTAACGAGGCAGAGTCAGGATGGAAAAATACTACAGAGCTTAAAACCTAAGTGGTTAAAGGTAGAAACATAGAAGATAGGAGCAGCAGGAGGCCATTTGGCCCTTCGAGCCTGCTGTGCCATTCTTCACAATCATGGCTGATCATCCAACTCAGTAACCTAATCCTGCTTTCTCCCCATAACCTCTGGTCCCATTCGCCCCAAGTGCTATGTCTAGTCACCTCTTGAATACTTTCAATGTTTTGGCATCAAGTACTTCCTGTGGTAATGAATTCCACAGACTCACCACTCTGAGTGAAAAAATGTCTTCTCATCTCTGTCCTAAATGGTCTACCCCAAATCCTCAGACTGTGATCCCTGGTTCTACACCCACCATCGGGAACATCCTCCCTGCATCTATCCCATTAGAATTTTATAAGTCTCTATGAAATCCCCCCTCATTCATCTGAAGTCCAGCAAAAACAATCCTAACTCAGTCAATCTCTCCTCATATGCCTGTCCTGCCATCCCTGGAATCAGCCTGGTAAACTTTCGCTGCACTCCCTTGAGAGCCACCAATACTGAAACAATTCAAATCTGAAATGCTTAAAGAGGCCAGAATTAGTTGTATGCAGATATCTTGAGGGTTGTGGTGTTAAAGGATCTCACGGAGCTGGAATGGGGAACGGATTTGAGTACAAGAATGAAAATGTTATAGCAAAGACATTGACTGGGAGCCTGTGAACACAGGGCTTATGGATGAACAGGATTAGGTGCAACTTGTAAAAATGTTCTCCTAACTCTGGCCTCATTTGCTACTTACCATTTATAATTAATTAAATTTCGCATTGAAAACAAATTAACCTATCCTTACTTTTATCATTTTCTTTCTCTAGTGCTCCATTTGATGGCACTGATATGCTATTCATTTAACTTCCACTTGTAGTTAAATAAACCCACACACTTACCTACTTGTACTTTCATTCCAGAATCTGACCTAAACCTGTTTGGGTAAAACTGTGAAGATGGGCAGCATGGTGGCTCTGTGGTTAGCACTGCTAGCTCACAGTGCCAGGGACCTGGCTTCGATTCCAGCCCCAGGCAACTACCTGTGTGGAGCTTGCGCATTCTCCCCTTGTCTGTGCGGCTTTGTTCCGGTTTCCTCCCACAGTCCAAAGGCTTAGTAGATTGGGCATGGGAAATGCCTGGTTACAGGGATAGGGTGGGATGCTCTTTAGAAGGTTAGTATGGGCTGAATGTCCTGTTTCCACGCTGCAGAGATTTTATGACTTACAACTCAGTATTAATTATTGCACCATGGATAACATAAAAATGTTAGTCCATTGCTCTCTTCAATTTAAACAGTATTCAGACCCTGATGATCACTCTGAGAAGTCTATGCCATCTGTGTGGGTAACCAACCCCATCCACGGTTATCCTTGCAAGTCTTTCTCTCTATTCCTAAATGTATATTTCTTGTAGCATAAAAAGCACACCCATGGCATTGACTGATTCACCCCCCTGCCCACCTTTTTCAGAGTACCATTTTTTAAAATCAGGTCCATATCCCGGATTTACAAAAAGTCCATTAACATTCAAACATTTTTGATGAGAGACCATTCTGGGCTTTTCGGCATCATCAGGTGGATGAAGAGTTTTACTACCTGTAACAGAATTGAGATTAACATTTTCAAACATTGCCGGAGACCAATACAGAAGTAGTGGAACCACAGCCTTTATTTTGTCGATGCTGTTAACAGCTTGGCCACAGGAGTTCAATGGTCAAGACAGTCTCTTGAGATTAGACAAACACATACCATTGCACCAGCTAATCCTTGATTAAAGTAAATCATAGATCATAGATCATAGAATCCCTACAGTGTGGAAACAGGCCCTTCGGCCCAACAAGTCCACACCGAATCTCAGAGCATCCCACCCAGACCCATCCCCCTATAACCAACCTAATCTACACATCCTTGAACACTACGGGCAATTTAGCATGGCCAATCCACCTAGCTTACACATCTATGGACTGTGGGAAGAAACCAGAGCACCGGAGGAAACCCATGCAGACATGTTTGTGAAGTCAATCAATTGTGCCTGTGCCTCCATTTCAAAAATGTTGCTTTGGCTTCCAGATTATCTTAAAGGTTCATTTAAAAAAGTGTTGTTGGTTGCTGGTTTACAAAATGTGGCCAATTTTGACGACAGTCAACTCACAAACTGACTTTGCTCCTTTTCATTTAGATATGCTTCTCTTGGAAGACTAGCTACACATTTAAATCAATTGATTTGTTTACATTTCTGAACCACAAAAACCAAAGACAACATTAGTTTTCAGGCTGAAATGAACATTTTGTGAGTTAATCATATTTTTCAGTTTACCCTGGGCAATGTCAGAGGAGATCCGTAACAATAAAGTTTGCTGATCATGCAATCCCAGCAAGGAATGGCTTGATTGTCAGCATTCAAGGAATTTGAACCAACTGAAACAAGTTTCCCAAAAATAAACAAAGATGGCTGTATACATTTTAGAATATGCACAAACACAAAAAGAAACAAGGTGGCTACAGACAACAAGGCCAATTTACACGATGGAATTGCCATGTTGACATTGTACAATTTAATGAGTGGAGTTTGTAGTTAGGTTTAGCAGTGAGGAGACATTTGATTATGAACTGTAAATTGTCAAAGGTAGAAACGACCACAAAAATGTCATCTGTCCCATTACAAAACAATAGAACAGAATAAGTTCAAGTCTGTAAATCAGTAGAATTTTCAGACAATCGTAAACCCGTACTGGCTGTAGACAAATTCAACATGAAGGAGGATTAATTAACTAGCTTGGTATTATGAATCTAGTTTATACTTCTTGAAAATGTAGCTGAGAACAAAAGAAGGCTATCAAAGCCGAGGAAACATAAAGAACAGAATGGCATGGAAGGAGTCATAATGAACAAACCTAGAAACAAAACTAGGAAGAGGCTTGCTTGCAATGTCTCAGAATTATTGTGCATGTGATGGGCACTGTTGATTAAGTTGAATCATTCATTCTCATGGAAACTGCAGACAATGGTTAAATTCATGCCTCAAACCCAATTCGGTTAGAATCCTGGTCTGCAACTTGAATCTCTTGTTCTACCAGCAGCTCTGAGAAGGGTTCTCCTCAGACATTATCTGCAGTACTGTTGCAAGAGAGATAAAGAACTATATGGTGCATTTGGGTGCATTTGTGGGAGAGTTCATCACTCAAATGAAATGTTAATTCAACACTTTTCTACTTTCCAATGCAGACATAAAAGATCCATTGACGCCATTCAAAAAGAATAGGGAAATTCTCTGGCTCCTCATCAATATTTCTTCTTTATCCAATACCACAAAAACAGAGGAATAAAAGGAAAATTACTGTGGATGTTGGAAATCTGAAACAAACACAGAGAATCCTGGAGAAACTCATCAGGAGTTGAAACCTAACTTTAATTCTATTTCTCTCTCCACAGGTGTTGCCAGACCTGCTAAGTTTCTTCTACATTCTCTGTGTTTGTTACAATAAAACAAATTATCTGTCAGCTCTTTGATTTCTATTTTTAAGACCTCACTAAATTGACTCATAATTACCTAGAAAACACTACAGACTATGTAACTAATTGACTGTAAAACACTTTGGGAAAGACTTAAAACATATGATAAAATTCAAATAAAAGAAACAAAATGCTAGAAAAATTCAGATCAGGCAGCATTTGTAAAGAAAATCCAAGTTATGGTTTTGTGTTGACAATACTTCATCAGACCCTGTTTATCTCCCCAGATACTGCCTGATTTGCTGAATATTCCCAGCTATTTTTTGTTTTTATTTCAGATTTTCCAGCATCCAAACTATTTAGCTTTTGTACTGTACAATAAAATGCACATTCCTTTGCTTTTACAGCCTGTGCATACCTCTCTTTACTATGTACCTGTTAGTGTGTGTTTGCATGTATACATGGGATCTTCTTAACATGTTGATTTGTTCCGGTTGTGTTGCAGATCACTTTTAATGTCACATTCAGCAGGACTTTCAGCATTACATTTAAGAAGATCACATAAAATTTGGAAAACTGGAAAGGTAAGAGATGTAATTACATAATCATAATATTCTGTTGTGTTGTAAACAGCTACTTTGAATCTTGGGTTCAGCTATTACAGAGGATATGCAGGGATATACTCTTATCAGAATTCAGCTAAGTCTCTCTCCAAGTACAAAGTCACCTTAGCAATTTACCTCTCATATCATTACAATGTTTTTTCTTTCTCATTATAGTCCACAGTCATTGATTTCATGGGTACATCACATAAAAGGTAACATTGCCATAGTGCTACTGGACCATAGGGCTGTTCTCTTATAGAAATGACTGGTGGTGTTTTAACCTGTGGGCCACCACACCTCAGGTGAAGGGACAGCTAGTGCAGGAATTGAACACACACTGTTAGCATCTCTCCACACCACAAACCAGCTGTCCAACCAAATGATGCCCTGTTGGTCTCTTGAGTGCTCGAGGCTAGTGCAGAATTTTCCACCACACTCCTCAAGTGTCTTGTGGTGGAGAGGGTAGACAAGAGGTTAGCCACTCACTGCAAAATTATAGAAAGGTGACAGTACAGATAGAGATAATTCAGCCCATCAAGTCCAGTCTGGCTCTCTGGAAGAGAACTTTAACTAGTCCCACCTGTCTGCCCTTTCCCTGTATTCCTCCAATTCTTACTCCCTTAAACTGCTCATCTAATTTCCTTTTGAAAGCCATGGTTGAGTCTACCTCCAACAATGTTTTAGGCAGAACATTTGTAACTGCATAAAAGGCAATTCGTTATGTCATCTTTGGTTTATCACCAATCACTTTAAATTTGAGTTATCTGTATTTTACCTTTCTGCCTTTGGAAACAGTTTCTCTCCATATCTAACCCCCTTGAACTTTTGAACACTTCCATCAGGTGTCCTCTCAGTCTTCATTCTCTAAGAAGACTAATGTCAGTTTGACCAGTCTATCCCTGGATCCTTACGTTCCTCATTACTGGAACCATTTTTGTAAATCTTTTCTGCATCCTTTCTACAGCTGCACATCCTTCCTGAAGTGTGGTACCCAAATTTGCACATACTTTTCTAGTTTAGGCAGAACCAGTTTTTTTGAAAATGCAAGTTCGTCACAACTTCTTTGCTTTTGCACTCTATGCCCCTATTTATTAATTACAGGATCTGTAGGTCGTTTGAATCACTTTCTCAAGTTGCCCTGCCATTTTCAATGATTTGTGTACATAAACACCAGGTCTCCTCTTATTATTTGGACTATAACCTGGTGTTGTGTAACTTCATTATTTGGAGATCCTGCTCCTAAACTTACATTGGACTTCAGTCACATGCTCCTGATCATGTATAGGGAGGGATGCAATGAAATTGGAGGATCTTCTGGTAGAATTGCTCCTGGCCCTAGCTAATGTGACCAATAACAGGTCTAGGCAGTGGGCTCAGGAGGTGGTTGTCCAGCTTGACTGCCTAAAGTTGATGTTTTATTTGAAGTTTTTTTTGTCACAGAGCTCTTTAAGTGTCTGTCAGTTAAAGTGCCCATTTGCTTCTCATTTACTCGAAAAAAGTATAACTCCAAGCCTTCATGCTCCTGCACCCCATTTAGAATTGCACACTTTATTGTTTACTCTACCAAAATGTATTGCTTAGCACTTCACCATTCTGCTCCTTGTCCACTGCTCTGTCCGTGCCTTCTTGAACTCTATCACTATCCTCTTTGTAGTTCCTAAAACTTCTGGAGTTTTGCATTATCGCCAAATTTCAAAAGAATGCTCTGCCCATGAAATTGGTCCTAGAACATTCCCCTGGGGTACCATTGCATGCCTCCTTCAAGTCAGAATAAGAAATATTCACCTTTAATATGTTTCTTACAAACCAGCCAATTTCATATCTCTGCTGCCATTGTCCCATTTAATCCATGGCCTTCAACCTTGATGTCAAGCCAATTATGTGGTACTTTATCAAATTCCTTCTGGAAGTCCATATGCATCATATAAGTTCCATTAATCTCAAAGCCAGGTGACTTCTTGACATCAGAACTTATCTGTCCATTTCCAAAGAATCCTCAACTTGATCATCCACCTTATGTGACGTTATGTTTGCACATAATAAGTAAGCCCTGACCTTGGAGAAGTGTGTTGCTGTTGAGGCAAAATGTTGGAGAGGAGCTCTTACACATTACAGGGGGAGAATCCAGCCACATAAGATATTGAATTTTGTCGAGCACAGAAGGAGCGGACTACACATAAAAACCTGTAGAGCAACATTTTTTACTCTGATCATTAAAATAAATAATATTTTAAAAGTTCTGTGTAAGTTTAAATTTGAAGTTGAGTTATTTCATGAAATATTGAAGCAGTTTTGGTAAATGTAATTGTGTATTTCTAATTGCCTAAGTATCGCCTCCCTTAAACATATTTGTTATTAAATGTGGTATATTTATAACAAATTCTTTATTTGTTATTATTTATTTCAATAACAGGCGCAAGATGTGGCAGTACAAGTTTTGAGAAATAGCAACTAACTGCTTTCAAAGAATGAAAGATTCAATTACTGAATGAGTGACATTTAAAGGATAGCAATTCTGTAATATTACTTCCTTTGTTCCAGAGCTAATTTAAACATTTAATCCAATTAAACAAAAACATTTCAAATATTTTTTAAAAATAAACAAATAATTTGGATATCTTGAGTAACCTTTAGATTGTTTCAGTGATTTATTTTGTTTTAAAATATTTGTAAGTAATGAAAATTGTTATCTCCAAGGCATCATGATATGTCTATGAGGTGGAAATGACTGTCCTTGAATTCAGAGCAGCATTTAAGCAAGAATGGTATTGAGGAGAAGCAGTGAAACTTGCATCAATGAGAATTAGGAGGAAAACACTCTGCTGGTTGGTGTCACGCTTAGCACAAAGGAAGATGGTCATGGTTGACAGGAGGGCTGATTATTATCTGAATGGTAATAGATTGGGAAAGGGGAGGTGCAATGAGACCTTGATGTCTTTGTACACCGTTTGTTGGAAGTAAGCATGCAGATGCAGCAGGTGACAAAAAAGACGAATGGTATGTTGGCCTTCATAGGAAGAGGATTTGACTGCAGGAGCAGGGATGTCTTGCTGCAATCTGCTGGGCATTGATGAAACCACACCTGGAATACTGTGTGCAGTTTTGGTCTCCTTATCTGAAGAAGAGTATTCTAGCTATGGAGGCAGTGCAACAACAGTTTACCAGGCTGATTCTTGGGATGGCAAGATTAACGTAGAAAGAGAAATTTGATCTTTTAGGAGAATATTCTCTGAAATTTAGAAGAATAGGTGGGCGGGGGGGCGGTGTGTCTCAGAGAAATCTGTAAAACTCTAACAGGACTAGACAGGGTAAATGCAGGAAAGATGTTTGTCATGTGACTGAGGAGTCCACTTTAAGGGAAGGCCATTTAGGACTGAAATGAGGAGAAATTTCTTAACTCAAAGAACGGTGAACCTGTGGAATTCTCTGCCACCTGAAAGTGGTCAATGCCAAAACATTTTCAAGGTGTTAGATATGGTTCTTAGGACCAAAGGGATCAAAAGGGTATGGGGAAAAATAAGATACTGATTTGGATGATAAGCCATGATCATATAGAATGGCAGAGCAGGTTCAAAGGGCTGAATGGTGTACTCCTGCTCCTATTTTCTATGTTTCCATGCTGATGGAGGTTAATCGTCTCAGCTCCAGAATGTTACTGTAGGGGTTCCTCAGGGTAGTGTCCTAGGCCCAACCATCTTCAGCTGCTTCATCAACGACCTTCCCTCCATCATAAGGTCAGTAATGCGGAGATCCACTGATAATTGAACAATGTTCAGCATTATTTGTGACCCCTCAGAAACTGAAGCAGTTTGTGTCCTTATGCAGCAAGGCTCAACAACATCCAGATTTGAACTGAGAAGTATCAATTGACACTTGCATCATATGAGTGCCAAGTAATGACTATCACCAACAAATGAGAACCTACTCATTGTCCTTTTAACCTTAAAATAGCATTAACATCATTGAATCCACCACTATCAATATCCTGAGGGTTGCCAATGACCAGAAACTGAACTAGACCAGACATATAAATACTATGGCTACAAGAGGCTAGGTAGATTGGTCATGCTAAATTGCCCGTAGTGTTCAAGGTAGATTAAGTGGGTTATAGAGGGATGGGTCTGGGTGGGATGCTCTGAGGGTTGGTGTGGACTTGTTGGGTCGAAGGGCCTGTTTCCACACCATAGGGATTCTTTGATTCTGTGAAGAGCATGTCAGAAGCTAAGACTTCAGTGATGAGTAACTACTGTCTGTTTCTCCAATGCCTGTTCGCTATCTACAAGAGTCAAGTCAGAGGTGTGATGAAGTACTCCTTGCTTGCCTGGATGAGTACAGTGCAGACACAGTCTAGAGGCTTGACACCATCCAGGACAAAGCAATGCGTTTGATTGGCACCACATCCACAAACTTCAACAATCACTTCCTTCACTACCAAATCTTGGTGGCAGCTGTGTGTATCATCTACAAGATGCAATGTAGGAAGTCAAAGCCCCCCTGACAGCATGTCCCCTCTATCACCTCGAAGAACAATGGAAACAGACGCATGCGAATGCAACAACCTGTCAGTTCCCTTTCACTTCATATGTCATCTTGATTTGGAATTATGTCACCATTCCTTCATTGTGGCTGGGTCAAAAACCTAAAGCTCCTTTCTTAGCCCCATGAGTTACCTTAAACACTAAGGACTGTGGTGATACAAGAAGGTGACTTAACAGGCCTTCTCCACTGCAATTTAGAATAGGCAATAAATGCTGGCCTAACCAGCAACACCCAAATCCCATGAACAAAACAAAAATAATTGGTCAAATCTCTTTCTTAGTCACATTTCCTGTATCTGTGCAGCATTATTCCATTATTCCCTCCTTTAGAAGTCTGTGATTAGTACGTTATGTGACCACTTCTTCATACCTGCATTAGATGATCTAATGACCCATTGAAATGAAGTATAAGAACATTAGTGAGCATAATATTCACAGCAGTGAGATTAGTTTCAACACTGTAGAATATTATTTAATGCTGCGAGTCATTTTGCTGATTAAATTTATATTGTTACTTATGTAATTTCTAGGAATATTTGATTTTATGGCAGTGCTACAAGAAATAAATACTTTTTAAAATGCAAAAAGTGAATGGCTTTTTTTGTATGTTGCAATCAGACCATTACAATAGTGACGATACTATGGTTTTAAGAGGTGTATTTTGTCCTTTCTTCTCGAGAGAGATTTTAAGCCAAAAGTGCCAAACTATTTATTTGAATCTAATAAAGTAAACAGCTTGTGATGCCTTGGTTCTTTTTTTAGAGTTAGAGCAATAGAAGCAGCCTGAATTGGTGGGGTTACACTTCCACAGAACCGAGATTTTTAGTTTTAGTTTTTAGCAGTTGCTAGGGTCTTGAAGCTAGAAGTGAAAACTCTTCTTCCTCTCTGTGTTACAGCTAAAAGTTGGGGTTCTCTTCCTGCTGCTAGAATTACATGAGACCCAGCTTATTTTGCTGAATTTGCCTTTGCCAGGGGTGTGTTTATGGGATGTTACTATATTGGAACAGTTACTGTTTAGTAGTTAAATAATTCAATATTCTATTCAGTTTTCCAATACAGTTGAATTATTACAATTTCTTCTTTCTTTTGTTGCATTTAACTATGGAGTATGAATAAAGCGTTTGTTGCTTCAAGGCTGATCGTTTAGCCAATTGAATTGCATCCAGAGCACAATGGTTTACACTTGCTTTTAATACAAGAGAGAGTTAGGATCTAGGATAACTTCTTAATATACTTTGAGGGAGTTTGGACTAGTCCATAATACAATACAAGTGCCTAGTTTTTAATAACTCCGACATTGAGAGTTGTGGCTTTAAAAGGATCATTGTCCTATATTGTTTATACACAAGCATTTATGACAAAAACTTTCACTGTTATCACTCTAAAAGTGTGGAGCTGGAGGAACACAGCAGCATCAGAGGAACAGGATAGCTGATGTTTTGGGTCAGGACCCTTCTTCCAAATTGGAGAGAAGGAGGGGAGCTCAGAACTAAATAGAGAGAGAAGGGGTGAGGCTGGGGAAGGTAGGTGGGATGGTGATAGGTGAGTGCATGTAGGCAGTGGTCGGGATTTGTCAGTGAGGTGGGAGGAGCGCATCAGTGGGAGAGAAGACAGACAGGTCAAGGAGGCATGGATGAGAGGGAGGTTTGATCATGGATGAGGCCGGGGATGGGGAGATTCTGAAACTGGTAAAATCTATGTTTAGGCCGTCAACTTGGTCTACCACATTGGGAGCAGCAGATGTGGTAGACCAAGTTGACGGATGTGCACGTGAACCCCTGTCTGATAAGAAAGGTTTGTTTTTTGCCTCGAATGGAGTTGAGGGGGGAGATGTCAGGGCAGGTGCAGCACATCCTGTGGTTGCAGGGAAAGGTGCTGGGGCTGGTGGGCAGTGTGAAGCGGTCGAGGGAGTCACTGAGAGAGTGGTCCCTACAAAAGGCAGGTAGGGGTGGGGAGGGAAATATATCTTTGGTTGTGGGGTCAGATTGTAGGTGGCGGAAGTGGCAGAGAATGATATGTTGGATGTGGAGGTTGGTGGGGTGATATGTGAGGACTAGGGGGATTTTGTTTTTGTTAGGGGAGGCAATGTGAGGGCAGAGGTGTGGGAAATGCAAGAGATGCGTTTGAGGGCATTTTCAATCACTAGAGTGGGAAAGTTATGGTCCTTGAAATAAGAGGACATCTGGGATGTGTGGGAGTGGAACGCTCCATCTTGGGAGCAGATGCAGTGGAGATGGAGGAATTGGGAGCAAGGGATCGCATTCTTGCAGGAAGGTGGATGAGAGGAGGTGTAGTCCAGGTAGCTGTGGGAGTCGTTGGGCTTGAAATAGATGTCAATTACAAGGTGGTCACCAGAGATGGAAACAGCGAGGTCCAGGAAGGATAGGGAGGTATCGGAGCTGGACCAGGTGAATTTGAGGTTAGGGTTCAAGCTCTTCATGGGAACATGAGGCAGCACCGATACAGTCATCGATGAGCGGAGGAAGAGGTGGGGGATAGTGCCAGTGTAACAGCGGAAGAAGGATTGTTCCACGTATCCTACAAAGAGACAGGTATAGCTTGGCCCATGTGGGTTCCCATGGCCACCCCCTTAGTCTGTAGAAAGTGGGAGGAGTTGAAGGAGAAGTTATTAAGGGTGAGGACAAGTTCGGTTAAGCGGATGAAGGTGTCAGTGGAGGGGGACTAGTTGGGCCTGTGGTAGAAGAAGAAATGGAGGGGTTCTGGGCCATCTGCATGGGGAATACAAGTGTACATGGATTGGATATCCACAGTAAAGATGAGGCACCGGGGCCAGGGAACCAGAAGTCCTGGAGGAGGCGGAGGGCGTGGGCAGTGTGTCGGACGAGGGTGGGGAGTTCCTGGACCAGAGGGAGAAAATCGAGTCAAGGTAAGCAGAGAGGAGTTCAGTGGGGCAGGAGCATGCAGAGACAATGGGTCGGCCAGGGCAGTTAGGTTTGTGGATTTTGGGAAGGAGACAGAAACAGGCGGTGCGGGTTTGGGGAACAATGAGGTTGGAGGCTGTGGGTTGGAAGTCACCTGAGGCAATGAGGTTACTAACACCTTTCACCCCAACCTCAAATTCACTCTGACCATCT